GTGCTGGTACAGGGACCGATTCATCATTGAGGCTAAGGACCTAGCTGGGACGTGAGGCGCGCGCCCCTCCTGACAGCTCCGTCGTGTTCCCTTGCTCTGGCCCGCCTGCCTCTCTTATCCCCCTCTGCCCCTCTTCGTTCCCTTCCTCCTCTAGGGTCACGTAGATCAGTGTTTGCAAACTCTTTTTCTACTGAGAGGCCAGGCAGGTAGTGGACTGAGCAAGTGGACTGGGCTTCAGAGCAGATGGGCAGTGGGAGAGGCTGAGGGACTAAAAAGCTCACAGGAGCCTTGTCTGAGGAGGCGGCTGCTGCCTTGGCCCAGCTGCCATATTTGTGTCATCTTGTTTTAAACTGGAAACTGAAAATCCTGATTCTGCATATGTGTATTTGAAATTTCTTAATTCAAGACATTGGCATCAACCCCAGCACTTGGTTACCAGTTTACCTTTTGTGCAGATTAGAGGAAGTGCCCCCTGTTCCTCGAAGGTGTGCGTTTCTCTTGCTTCACTGCTGTCTTTCTTATTGTGAAATAAGAACAATGATTTATTTTGATCAATGCTTCATGGTTTATAAAATGCTGTCATAGTGGCTGTCTCTTTGAATGTGCCTTAACTATTTGAATTTAATCTTATCTTTAGATGTGTATGTCACGCAGAATCTGAGGGTTAGCTCATTTACCTTCTTAACATCCTTTTTCTTTGACTCAGCGATGACCTTTGTTGCGTTGGCATTTCCTTTCTGTTCCTTTGTACTCTGCAAGGGAACTTTCCTGTTACTTCACTTGGCAGGTGAACACTTCAGCCCACCTCGCAAGATCACCTTCTGAAATTAGTCTTTTTGGGAACATATTTTGGTGTCATTATTGCTGTCACTGATCTTTTCTGTTGATAGAGCTACTTATATATCCAGATGACTTCCTATCTTTTGGACCAAAACTGATTGTGTGAAGGTATATGTTTCCTTTATTAGTTAATTTTTAAAAAAACTTTTATTAAATTACCCTATCTAATACAACATTGCCCTCCCCATCTTTATTATAAGGAAAAGTCTAGAAGCAATTGCTTATGGGTTTATAGTGAAACAATGAGAAAATTTTCCCTTGTACCTGTTTTATAACTTTTAAAAATAATTTGCGTGACTTGTGTAATGAAATAAATGTTTTAAAATAATTCTCTTTTTATTCTTAAACTCATTAAATCCATTCCTTCCCTTCATAAAAGTCTAGAAATGCAATTACTTTCCTTCTTCCCATTTTGACTTTTTGCATTATAAAAGTCCAAATTGCATTTTTTTGCCTATTTATTTTGGAAATTTTTAAACCCACAGGAAAGTTGCAAAGATTAAAAAAATAAATAATTACCAATATACTGGTCCCCTTAATTTATCCCAAATGTTAACATTTTGGCACAATTCTGACTCTATTTCTGTGGGGGGGGGGATGAGGGTGTGTATGTACCTGCTGAACCACTGCACATTTTAAAAACTCAAATTGAAATAAAAATGTAAACTATTTTGCAGCTAAAAATGTCAAGAGATTGTGTCTAGCCAGTGTCCTTGGCAGATAAAGCGTTGCCGTTCTTTTCTGTGTAATCTCATTGACCATCAATATTTGTATGGACATGAAGTGAAGCTCGTGTAAGACATGGTCCTTCTGGAAACCTGTGCTTCTGTTTCAGGAATGAGTATTCATGATTTTATTAGGTACTAAGTATTTGAACTATCAACCAAAAATTAGAGCGTATCCCTCCAAAATGTCAAATGTTATTAACTACACATTAAGTGCTAAGGTAAAATGAGTCAAACTAAATTTAATAACTTGGGAAATACTATAGTAATAATCCTGCTGTATCTCATCAGCATCTGAATAATTTTAATCTACTGCCAGTGTTCTGGAATATGCTCCAATTTGCTTCGGTAGCACTGTGCAGCGCTGGCAAGATAAATAATCTACGTCCAAATATTCCACCACTACTTACTGTGTGACCTTGGACAAATTCTTAAATCTCTCTAAGATTGTTTTCTCATCTACAAACTGAATGTGGTAACTGTACACATTAAAAAGATAGTTGTGACATAATTCATGGCGCACAGTAAGCCTTCAGAAGTTATCACAAATACTAGTTTCGTTTCTGTTCACTACCTGCAGGGTTTTGGTTATTGTTAGGACTTTCATCTGGTCCTCTTCACTCCCAAGTGTCGTCCTCCCATTCTAGCTCATCCTACTCATCCCCCGGTTGGCACTTGGGTGAAAGTTCAGAAAATCAGCTTCGTATTATGTAAAACTGGCTAGGAATCATGGCCCAGAGTGGGTGTTAAACTCCTTTCCCTCGAATTAGTCTTAATTAGACAGCTTCAGGCCTCCACCAAAAGGGCCCGAGTCTGCCCCAGCCTGCACATTTCTCTGATCACTAACATGATTTTGATGTTCCGCTGCTCCGAAATCCCCCATCATTCCCATTCCATATAAAATCAGAGCAGATGTCCTCCGTGAGAATGGTTGCCCTGATTGAAGTACTTAGCTGTGTGCCAGGGACTGTATTACACGCTCTGCATTGATCACTCTGTGCTCTGTTAATTCTTACAATATCATGAGGGAAAGGTATTGTCATCCAACTCACAAAAGGAAACAGGCATCGAACCGTTAAGTGCTTTTCTGGACAAAGTAACACTGTCCAAAAGTGTTAAATCTGGTTACTGAATCTGGTCCTGCCCTCTCTACAGCCTGTGCTTTTGAAGAGTTGGCCTGTACCACCACTTCAGAGCCTGTTGGGTCTCTGGGTTCTTAGGTGAGAAACCCTGCCCTGCCTTTGCTCTCTCTCTTCTGACGTACCCCCCACACGTGGGTGCTTTATTTCTCCCTGAGCATTCCATGTCCTTTCATATCTTTTACTTTTCTTTTCCGGGTCCTCTCTATCTGGATTATATTCTACCTTTTTTCCATTTGTATACACCCTGCTTATCCTTTACGACCCTGTTCAGATCCCATGTCCTGTCTGAAGCCTTCTCTGATTCTGTTCACTTGTTCTCCCACACAAGTGTTCAAATTTATGTTATAGTAGTAATTTGGGTAATAGTCAGGATTATTATGAATAGTTTTTTGAAGGAGAAGAGACTATAGAATCTTTTTTTTTTGGAGACAGAGTCTTGTTCTGCCACCCCAGCTATAGTGTCGTGGTATCATCTAGCTCATTATAACCTCAAACTCCTGGGCTCAAGCAAACCTCCTGCCTCAGCCTCCCGTGTGGCTGGGCTGCAGGTGCATACATGACACCAGTTAATTTTTCTATTTTTAACAGAAACGAGGACTCATTCAGGCTGGTCTTGAACTCCTGATCTCAAATAGTCCTCCCACCTCAGCTTCCCAGAGTGCTAGCATTGCAGATGTGAGCCACAGTGGCCAGCCAAATTTTTTATCTTTGTATTATCAACTACAAACTATTGTGGTTTGATAATGCTGATAATTATTACAATGATTCTGAAAATGGTGGGTACTATTTATTAAGTACTTCTTCTGTGCCACAGGCTGTGCTAGGAGATTTGTGTGCTTTATCCTGGTTTCCTAGACTCTGGGAGACACACTCTTGGGAATTTGGGTAATAGCCTATTTAACTATGAAATGGAAATGATAATGTTCATGATCTTGTCTGGAGTTCCTAGGATAGGATGGGGCCAGGATTCACAGTTAAGTCCATCAGATTTTTAGAAAAATAGTCTGCCAATTATACTATATTGTAGTCACTTTGCCAAAAGTAGCTATCTGGGAAATATTTGTGGCATTCTACTGTTTTGCACCCTAATTTTTCCTGCCTTTACTAAATAAC